TATACAGCGCAATGCAGAATACCACCAGCTATAATGTACTATTGCTGGGATTTGTTGTATTCCTCTATAGCTGGCGGTATTCTGCATTGCGCTGTATAATGTACTATTGCTGGGTTTTGTAGTCCTCTATAGCCGATGCCATTCTGCATTCATTGCTATATAATTTTACACTTTTCATTTCACTATATTGCACACCACACTTTCTTTTTTTTCTTTTTTACTTCCACCGCTCCAAGCTTGCTCCTGTGATGGACTGCAATCTCAATACAAACTAGTAGTCCCATCACCGGAGCCATTTTTTAAAATGTATTTTATTTTCTATCCGATTAATCGAACTTAATAATCGGCTAACTAATCGATTTTGAAAATAATCGTTAGCTGCAGCTCTACTGTTGAGCTTCCCACACACACACAACCATTTTGCACTAATATTTTTCCATAGAATTAAAATGTTAAATTTTCATTTGACTGGTTACATGTATTTTACCATTTCTTTCAAATAATGATCCTAATTATTAGGGATGCGCCGATACAGATACTAGTATCAGTGCCGATACCAAGTATTTGGGAGAGAAGTTATAATGACTCGCCCCCTGGCATCCCAGCCAATAAGCTTTGAGTCGGTCAAACAGCATGAAAAGCGGCTTCCCGGCCAATCAGGAACCCGGGCGGTGGGTAATGACCAGCCTCCCTGATTGGCCAGTTCCATGTTGTTTGACTGGCTTGATGCTGATTGGCTGGAAGGCGGCTTCCCGGCCAATCAGCACCGAGCCGGCCAAACAGCAACGAGCCGGCCAAACAGCATGTTGACGGCTTCCCGAGCAATCAAGAAGCCGGGCGGCGTGTAATTACCCGCCACCCGGCTTCTTGATTGCCCAGGAAGCTGGCTCCATGCTGGCGGATGTACAGTTATCGGCAAGTACCGAAATATAAATATCGGTATTCATACTTGATACCAAAAGAAAAACGGTATTGGGGCATCCCTACTGACTATGTATGTTTTCCATCTGATCGCTTTTTGTCGAGGTCTGAAAAAGACTACAGGAGCAAAAAAAAAAACATTACCTAAAATACAAACCTCATTGAACAAGATCGAGGATTTCCATTCCGTATCAGATGCTCCCTGTTCAAACTGGCAGAGTAAAACTTACTGAAATGTTTGAAACCTGCCCAAATACAGTACAATATTTCACTTATGACTCAATTGAAACATGGGTGGACACCTTGATTTGATCACCGTCTTACAATTATTGTGTTTTATTCTTATATGTTGTGAAGTTGAAGGTGGAAGAGTGGACGGTATGCGAGCTGATAGTGGGAAAAGGTGGTGAAGGGATATGTGAGACAGGACCTCAGCGTGGACGGTGGAGAAGTGGAGGTTAGTTAAAGGGGTGGGAAGTTAATGGTTGGGTGGTGATGGTGGAGTGAGGTGGCAAGTGACGCATTGGGAACTCATCTTGGGGGACACAGGGCAGCAGAGATATGTGTGATGAAGTGAAAGGGATTTTAAATGTAGTTTGGTTATTAAGCGGATGCTGAATGTGCAGAACAGGGACCTAAAGATCAGGGCATGTCAGTGAGCTTGTATTTAATGGAAAGGGGATGAAAAATTAGAGATGGAGAGCAAAACGTCAGAGGAGTAAAAGGACATTTTTTAAATGGAAAGTACATGAAGACAAATATCTGAACATGCAGCAGCAGTAAAGTGGAGTTAAATGATATGAAAGAGGGTGCTTAGGGACTAAATGGAGAATTGGAAAAGATCAGGAGATCGAGGAAGAAAATTAAGTAAAATTAACATGGTGAAAAGTGGCCGCAAAGCAGGGCAGCAGAGAACCTTAGGAGGAGAAAGTCAAAAATAAGGGGCCACAGCTGAGGAGGCTGTAATACTAAAGGTGAAAGGGAGGAGAAATCAGAGACCACAAAGAAGGAGAGTTTAACATATAAAAAGGAGAACTCAGAGTGAGGTAATGGAATACCGTGCAGGGCAGAAATGGACATAGTGCATGATCCCTGAAGCTGTAAAGCTGAGTGTGTGCAAGAACTCTTCACTAACACAGACTGGAAGTGATTACGTTTCTTTACATTATACAGATTGTATTAGCATTTGCTTAGCACCAGGTTATATTTCTATGGTCATGTTAGGAGTATTTTGCATAAAGGATACCAGTCCATCAAAATTCTCACCACACCAGTCTCGTATCTGTTTAATTCGTGTACGGTGTTGTCCTCCAGCCTGACTCTCACCAATAAGTGCTGAATAAGTGGCAAATAGGACACCTTCTGAGGCAGATGTGTCTCCATATTTGATCTGTGAAAATACAGAAGGCGAGTCATTTATAAAGACACTTCTCTGTAAGGAACATATACCCAGCAAAGGTACATTGCAATAACGATACATCAGGATGTTATAAGGTTCGATTCTTGTATGTCTACCTATATACCACTGTCAGAAGCGGTAAATTGTTAAAATCTATAAGTAAAACAAATTACATGGTACATGTAGTATTTTCCTTCAAGCTGAGATTATAGTTGGGCCTTTTCACAAAGCACACACGTTAAAATATAATTATAGTGGTTTTTAAGCAATAATGTTGCCCATTAAATCTTCCCTTCTAATATATGCAGAGTAGGAAATTATATGAAAAGTCTCCCAAGCACACGCACACATCAGTAGGAAGGTCCCAGGAAGAACCCACCCACAGCTTTGCTCTTATGCCGCCCACGGATGACATCACTGCTGCTTTCACAAATTCTTATTTGGGTTTGCAAATGCATTTGGTGCATACAAAATATATTTATATCCTTTGTGGCTATTAAGGAATAGATTTAAATTTAGAATTAGTGGCTAGGAGTTTAGCTTTATCAGCTAGTATCAATATCTCTGCACCAGGGTTCCCCACGTTACAGCAGTTGGGTATACATAAAAACTCAAGTGCAAAGATCTTGAAACCAGAGCCTTTGAGGTTAAAAAAAAAGTTTGTGGGTTATTCAGCTTGCCAGTGTCTCCTAAACAATGAAAACTTGAAAGTTGGCCTAAAAATTTGAAAAGAAACATATAACTCATTTATATTGTAGACATTCAAATGTTGCTATACATTATACTGCCAATCATGGCATGCAAACTCACCTTGCTGAGGGCATGTATTGGAATACCACTGGCATCAATGTCACGCAGATCTCGCTCTGCATCACAGCGCAGGTCATTGGATACACTAAACCTGTGGAATAAAGAATAAGTAAAATATTTTAAGTCTCTTAAGAATGCAAAAGAAAATTAAGAGGGGTGATATTAATTAGTATATTTAGAAATATGGAAATAATCAATATACAAAAAGGCCTCTTCAATATGCAGATCCCACATATCTATACTGTCAATGGTCTCTAGTCTCAGATCTTACAAGAGTGCTATAGCATAGGTTTAACACCAGACATCTAACAGGTAACCCACCATCGGGTGATGATAGTTAACAAGAACTTCTGCAACTGAACAAAAAGCAAAGAAGTGCACAAAGTGTGCAGATCTTACCACAGAGCTTTTTTTCTTCCCCTCAGGTAGTTTTCCAATATAATGCCAGCAACAGTCCGTCCCTTTCCAACACCAGCACCATCTCCAATCAGAAATCCAGCTCTCTGTCCACCAGGTAGGATTACTTCATGTTGCTGTGGAATACAGTAGAACATACAAAGATATTAAAAACCAAGTTGTAAAAAACACAAATTTCATTGTTTGTATACTATAGCTGTCATACTTACCTGGCAAGCATATACAATGGCTTCAAGCTGCAAAGCAGAAAGCAGTCCCCTGTCAATGACAGAACTGGGGAGAAACAGAGAATAGCTGACGTCTGGCGGGGGAACACTGGACAAAGTGCTAGTCTCTACTACACGATCAGGGTGCTGTATGCCAATTTTAGCTAAAAGAATATAGGAAAAATAATCATGTCAAATATCTGAAAGTAATAGAAAACACATGAATGGTTAAACAGGTCAACAAATTGTAAAGTGTATGTAAAAACAAAAAAAAAACTTTTCATTTTTTGTTGTTTTGAATAGAGTAGGGAAGGGTAATCCACTATTATGTTATTTTGTTCTATGTTTATGTCCAGTTGTAAAAATTTCACTGCACTTCCTGTCCTGGTGATGCAACAGAAAATGAGGGTAAATATCCTCAAAGGGGGGGTTCCCGTCTTAAGTAGGGTATACACAGTTAGAATTTCAAGAATTTTCGTACAAATTTCTAACCATTGATGTGGTCAAATCGATCTGAACCATAAGTGATAAAAAAAATTCTAAGAAGCATATTAGACATTTTTTCTCACTCGAACAGAGAATATGGTTTTTGTTCAATAAACCCCATTCATTCCAAATTCAACTGTTAAATAAAAACGACATTTTGTCGCCGTCTCTGATGGCATTATTGAACGTTCCGATGGGATTTTCGTATAAACGTTCATGGAAAAGATCTACTCTACTTTAGACACCTGTCACTAGACAGTTATCTTCATTGGAAGACTAAAGCTGGCCATACACCTATAGATTATCTGCAGATTTTCTATGGTCAGATGGAAAAAGTGCAACATATTCCTCCATCTATCCCGCTGGGTCAAGCTTCAGTATCTTGCTAGTCGGCCATGCTGGCTGTTAAAATACCTGAAAAATCTAATTGGATGCAGGCATTGTTGAGGTGCTTGAGAGCCAGTGGGGCCGACTAGCAAGATACTGAAGCTTGGCCCAGTGGGAGATTCCTTCATCCACAGTTTAGCTTAGATGGAGGAATCTGTTGCACTTTTCCATCTGACCACAGAAAATCTGCAGATAATCTATAGGTGTATGGCCAGCTTTACACTTGACTCATGTTCTGCTGACAACTCAAGTCAGGATTTCTTCTTACCTTCTGTCTCAGTGACATTGGTCACCAGGACAAATAGTAAGAGTGAATCTCTGCAGCAGGGACTTTGCGAGCAATAACCATTTGACAACGGTTCTAATCCTTCCCTACTTTATCCAGAACGGAAAAAGAGGTTTTGCCTATACATACACTTTAGGTTTCTAGTAAACGTAATCAGTTTGATGATGCTCCTCAGCTGGTCAAATCTAGTCCATATCCAACACTCCCATATAGCGGGCAATAGCCTGCTTTTTGCCGAGTTTGGGTCACAGGAAGACAATAGTAAATATCCTACTGTGACGCAAAAGAGATCTAATTCCAAAAATTTTCTGCCCATAGTTCTCTTTTAATGAGTGAAGGAACTGTCCCAAGAGCACCAACTGGCCCAAATGTCCCTGCTTCCTCGCCCTTTCAGTTGTAGTAGGACTTATTTCTGGAAGCAGTTATTATATTGAAGAATTCTAATTACCATAGCCGCAAATGTAATTTCTCTAAAGAAATCCTAACGTTAACTAACAATAAAATTGGACCACACCTATGAAACTAGCAGGATATGACACACTCAAAGCACAAGGAGGTGGAAGTGTATGTCATTAGAAATGTAGAAACATTTTCTAGAAAGCTGTCCATTTTTTTATTTTATCTATGCTACATTTCCTGTCTTTCGGCAATCACATAAGAACACATTTTATTGCTCTTTTATTTAATAATAAAAAAAAAAATCTTATTTTCTGAATGTTACAACATCAACTAAGGTAGAAAGTACAGAGAGAGTAAGCAAATAAATGTAGTCTAGCGATGCTATTTATAAGGTACTAAACTTATAAAAGGCTATTCTTACATTTAGAAGGCACGTAATCTGCATAGGTCTCAGTATGCCCCAGCTCCTCTGCGTCTTCATCTTCCTCTTCCTCCTCCACCACATTTGGAGCCTGATTCAGAAGATACAAAAAAAAAAAAAATAAGAATCTAAGAAAAGGGAAAGGCCAGGGCCTCACAAATGCTATGCTTTGTTTGTCGTCTTACCCGTTGCTGTACAGGAGGAGTACTGATTATAGCCTGAAAGTCCTCAAAGCGGTTGAATCCAAATGGACGAGTGGGGGAAAAGAGCTAAAGGTGAAATGAGAAAAATCTTAGAAGTAGCCTATAATGATGTGGTAAGTGAAATATAAAATCATTTTCTAGCGTCTGCAAAATGCAACCAATCTAAAAGCAATACATTAACTAGCAAATAGACTAAAAGCCATCAAGTAGCACTGCCACTGAGTAACATACTATACATCACATACAGTGCAAGGACATGGTCAAAAGACATAGCTGCATTACAACATAGCAAAAAAAAAAAAAAATAGTGAACGTCTCAGACAGATTGTAATAGTCAATTCTTATATAATAAGATAATATAAAATAATTTCGCCTGGTAATCCTGTGAATAAAATGCTTCATGTCCCTACATAGCTACACTAACCCCCACTGAATCTATAAAGGCAGCCATGGTTGTAACACAGAGAGGACTAACAAACACGTCCACCTTTGTTCATCTCCATTACATAGTAGTTGATGGGATTAGCAGTTTGCATTCAAGAGAGAAGGATGTTTTTGCTGTATTTTGAATTTCTGGCAACAGGTCTTTACTTTCTTAGCTTATAAAAAGAAAAATGAATGCAGCCACCACATGGTAAGCTGCAATATATTAAATTTTTTGTTTTAAGTTTAGATATGCTTTAAAAGGAGAACTATGAGGCGAGTGAAAATCAATCAGCCTCATAGTTCTAGTGGACCTGTGACAATGAAACGGTCACAGGTCGGCTCAATAGATCGGGAAGTGAGCGAACACATACCGGCGCTCGCTCACTTCTCGATTCTGTCCCTGCAGAGAGCCGTGTGTCACTCACGGCTCCCTGCAGGGATTTCCCCCCGCTCCCCCAGCGCTGACAGGCGGAACGGACAGGGGGCAGGTACAGCTGGCTCTGCCTCTAGATAGGCAGAGCCAGCTGTCCCTTACGCAGCTGGGTGGATCTCGACTGCAACGTCGGGATCCGTCCCGGCTGCGGCGTTTCAGTATACCACGTACTGAGCTTTGGGTGATGGGAGGACGCTAGTTTGTGTCCTCCTGTTACCCTTAGGAGAACTATGGGGAAAAGCCCCGACCCCATACTTCTCTTTTAAGGAAACTGGTGAAATCAGAAAAAAGGGCTCTACTGCTTACTGTTAGAAGTGCAGGCTCTGATCTCAGGTTTACTATATGAAGGGGTCAATGACCTGGAACAAGTATGCAGAAGGTGACATCTGAAAAGTCTGTTGTCCTGCATGCTTACTCCAGGTGAAAGACCCACAAAGTAAAGAAGGTCATGATGACAATCCTGGAGCCTGCACATCCACTACTAATAAACTCCTACATGTCTATTCTCACAGGATCGCGGTACAAAGCACAGTGTGCCCCCTTATCTGCTATCTAACAAGGCTGTACTTTTAATTATGTCTCATAAGCTCTGCCCTCATAACAATTCTATCATGTAAACTTCCTTTTGAATCTTTTAGAACCACAGCCAACAGGAGTAAATGTTGCTATTCGGCCTTTATAACTTTAAAATCGTATTGTTAAAATGTCATATTCTAGACGAATCCCAACAGCTAAATAGCCATTTACAGCTGGTGCCTACGTCTTAATGAAAAGAGATTACTCGTCTTTTGTTTCGTGATGACATTTAACTACGTTCTGCATTCAGATGCAATGCTGTGATATGCAGTATTTTAGTGGAGGACTCTGGCCCTCTTACCACCTTCTCTAACAAAGCACTTACATTTCCTAGTACAGAAAAAAAAACAAAAAACGAATAGTTCACATCCATAGTATTTCTATCCCTTTCTTCCTGCCGTCCAGTTGTTCAAACACAGGTTCCCACTCAGAAGTATGTCTCCCACCTTCAGCAGCTCACTTGCAATCGGTCACTCGTGTGAGAGGCTGAAGGTGGGAGACATACTACTGAGTGGGAACCTGTGTATGAACTACTGGAAAGAAAGGAAAGAAGGATAGAAATATTGTAAATGTAAACTATTGGTGCAGGTTCAGGATGACCATACTTATAGCGGCTCAACTCTATTGTCATCCTAAGGGGAGCAGCTTCTGGAGATTCGCATAAGTGTCATTTCATCTGCGAGCACCGTCTCTAATCACTTATACATGGATGACAAAGTGTAAATAGTTTTATGGACTGTTGGGGATTTATATAATTGATAAGAAACTGGTTTGCCCCATTTTGCACAGTATTATGATATAGTGACATTTGTAAATTTTGCTTGTATTTGTTAATTTACATATTTGTTATATGAATTTTTGACTGCACATATTTAACATTTTGATATTTCATATGTTTTCTATTTGAACTTGGCACATTGGGGTCCTTTTAAAAAATAGTTTTAGCCTTAGTGCAATTTTATTACTCTTTATTGAAATATCTGGGATGGATTTTACCAACAAACTGCTTCTGTTTCCTCACCTTAAAGGGATACTAATATCTTATTTGTGTGACACGAAACTCAGGAGATAAACCTTAAAAATGACACTAAGTTCCCTATTAACAAAAATATCTTATTTGTGTATCACTCAGCGGTAGGTCCTCAAATCATCTCTGAATTCATGCTGACACCGTCCTTCCTTCTGGAGAATGGTTACTTTTGTTCCCCTTGGTCTGTGTGTGTTGTAAAGTAGCCACCACTCCAAGCTCACTCCCATGATGGACTACAATCTCATGTTTAGTTTGCTAATTTGTATTGAGATTGTAGTCCATCACAGGCGTGAGCTTGGAGCGGTGGTTATTTAAGAAAACACACAGGGACCATGGGGAACAAAAGTAGCCACCCTTCAGAAGGAAGGACAGTGTCAGCACCAATTCAGAGATGATTTGAGGTTCTACAGTGACACACAAATAAGATACGGTACATTTTTGTAAGGATACTTGAATGCATTTTTAGGATTTCACTCTGGAGTTTTGTTTCACTTTAAGGATAGCAATGGAATTGCCTAATATTATAATTGGCCTGAGCAATCATAAATGTGCATGACAAACAACAGCAATGTCATTGCTAGATCCTTCAATTTCTGCCTTAGGTCTATGTGTATTTTTACAATCATGATACAGGTAGTTAAGCAGATATTAACTCCAAATAAATAATATAACACATTTCAGGAGACGGGAAACAGAGTCGTATATTCAAAAATGTACTTAAGCCTTTTCAATGAAGAAAGCAGCAAACAATTGTATAAATGTTAAAGTAAAAGTTAAAAAGCAACCTTCTATATTTTACGCAATATAAAAAAAGCTCACCGATGTGCTGGTGTCCTGAGAAGGTGTGTTGACGTCCCAAATTGTCGGTAAACTGTTAAGACTGTCAGCTGGGAGAAAGTCGTCAGTGTCCGTGATGCCAGATAGGGAATCCGGGGAAGACAGGGCAGAAGGATTGGAAAAATCATTTAAAAAATTGATTGGGTCCTAAAAGAAAAAAAAGAAGAAAATATTATGGCAAGAGACAGGTAGCCGCTAAGGAGCTGAAAAGCAGATATGGCCATGTGCATATATTAACATAGGGAGCTGTACGACCTCTGCCATGTACCGGGGGGGGGGGGGGGGAGTTGTTTAAAAAAAAAAGTACCGGGGGGGGGGGGTAATTTATTAAAAATAACATATAATACAACATTTAACAAATATAAGCTGAATTTATTCAAAATTAGATGTTCCTAGATTTCTTTATAAATATTGCTCCATGTGGCTGTTTTAATGGATTGGAAAAAACGGAAGCAATTCTCATCAAGAAATATATTAGTTTTAAATGCTACTAATAGGCAAGAAAGGCAAAAGCAAATATACTGCATATACACTAATATGAGAAGCCTTTGGCAGGGTGAGTATAGCAATAGGAAAAATGCTTCTGGGAATAAATGCAGCATCCTACCACCCCCATAGTCTACCACTCTGCTACACTTTATCGATGATGCAAATTCCAACATCACTCGCAACAGTCTGGCTTTGAGGAGGTACACAGACTAACTAACATTAGGTGCAATAATAATTGAAGATACTTACAAGTCTGCGCATCTATGCTCAAACTTTAACAAGGGGATTTAACAAAGTTAATATAAATGCAGTGAACTCTTCCTGAATGTAAAGAATTACACTGAAAGATACTGTTCAAGCATATGTTTTCATGAGCTTTGTTTAAGTTTTCAAACTGCCGGTATAACCTAAATTTAGATCTATATCAAATAGCATGTGGCAAGAAAAGCGTGTGTTTTATTCTGCATGAAAGTATTTAACTTAAAATTCTTCATTTGGAAAAATTTGGGAAAATGCAACCTTGTTTGTAAGACTGACGTGGAAATAGGAAAATGTCCAAAAAAAAAAAAGAGAAAGCAAAACCTGATTAAAAAAAAAACACCATTTTATATACAATATTGTATAACATTTGCATGAACAAGCCTGGATGATCTGGTTTGGAATCTTATAACATACACAACATTTTACAGTGTCATGTTCCTGTACAGTAGGCAAAAATGAACCCGTATCTGCAAAATCTAAAGGATCTTTGTTCAGTTGAGTGGCTTTTAATCAAAACTCTACATAGCCAACCATAGTGCAAATGTCTGAGGTAAAACCTGTTTTAAACAGCAGAGAAAAACGATATATACATTGATTATACCAAGCAAGGATTTCAATTCTGCAAATAAATGAAAAAGTCGGCCAATTTTAAAAGTAGGCACTTGAGTAAAATTAAACCTTTGTTTTGGTAAAGAGCTGCCTAGTGAATTATACTACAAAGAGAGAGAGAGAGAGACATCCCACCATTTACGATGTGCTGAGAAATAGCAGTAACACTTGGAAAAAGAGCTCATGACTGATCTTACTGGAAAGGGCTGGAAAACCACTGAGATCATAGAGTGAAAACATTCAGCTGTATCAAACTCCGGACAGGGAATCATTTTAATAGTGACAACAGGCTTCACAGTGTTGCAATATTCACTAAAAGCTGGAGACTGCAATACCAGACCAAGGCTCAAGACAACTTAAAAGTTAGGGGACATCAACTGTAAGAAGACCAGAGTCTGGTTCTCACAATATTTTTAATCAGGGGCATTTATCGCCCATGGACAACACTGTTCTAGTCAGGTATGTGGAAAGCTGGATATTGGCTTTGCTCCGATTTCCTTATTACACGATAATAATAATAATTCAGGACTTTGTCTTTGGCTTAATAACCGGTTATATTTTTTTATTATCTCCCCCTTTTTTTTAGTTTTTGTCAATTAACATAGGAACCATGAGATTAGACTGAATTATTTCATCTAAAAAGTTGAAAAAACAACATTCCATGCTCTACATTTATTTCTATGGGGAGGAATATGTCTGTGAAGGTTCTTAATTATCCAGGTCATGGTATACAGATATGAGGAGGAAGTACTAGAAAATGTACTGTAATCTAGATCAATGTGTTTGTTTGCCAATAACATGTAAATATGTAAGCTACTAACAGCAGTCATAAAATGGTTTATCATTTGTCACAAACAAGTCAGGCATCAACGACACAAACTGAAAATGAACACGAATGGTAGATGAGTAATGCTTCTTATTTATGGAAGTCCAGAAGACCACACCTAAATATGACAATTACTTCAAATGACCACAATCCTAGGAGTGTATTAATACTGACCTAATTAAATATAGTATAACAATTGATATACTTCAAATGCAGAGCTAAATCAAAATTCATTTCAATAAAATGTTCATGTAACAAAAGAAATGATGAGATGGATAAATGCTCAAACGAGTTTATGTATAAGAGGAAAATTGTATTTCAGAACAACTAAAATGTTGGCTGTTTAAAGATGAAAATTTCAGAAGAAATAAATGAATGTTACAAGGTGTTCCTTGAAACCATCATTGTTTGTAACCAGCATTCAAACCATTCCATTAAAAATGGACATCTTCTGAGGTGAACATGCATGATCTTCCCTGGTCTCCATAAGAACTTAGCTAATGTACATTCTGTATGGTTATATATGGTATAATTAAAAAAAAAAACAAAAAAAAAAAAAACCCTATTATCAAAATGTTTACTTCTATTATAAACGAATGTCAACTTGATTACAGAATGCTCTATCAAAAGTCAAATAAATGGGACAGAGCAATACATACAACTTCTGAAAAGAAAACACCTAATGCTTACAATCAATGCACAATCATGAAAAATGTCTAACAATTCATCATTGTTCTATAAAAAAGCAGACTGATGCCGACTACTCAGCTATTGTTATATGCCAACTATTCCTCAAATTTAGTAGTATTTAACAAAGTCCTCCCCAAAGGTGACCAAACCTGCCAAATAAAATTCATACCTCACAACAAAAAAAGGCCATCACAGAATTACAGTAAAAGAAACTTTCAAGTTATGAGCCTTTATTAAGAGAAGTCATGTGCAGTAGCCCACAGCAACCAGTCAAGTTTAGTGCAGCCACTGAAACAAGATAGGTGACAGGTAGCGCCAGATCCCCGCACAATGCAGCTCTTTAAAATATCCTATGATATAAAGCTCTTGCATCATTTTCCAATTGTACCACCATTCATTTTCCTCAACACCAGCAAACAATATTTGGCAAGTGTCAGTCACCCTCCAAATAATGCAAGCAAGAAAACTTGGAATAAAAACAGACATCATACCCCCATCCCAAACTGATCCAGAAATGTGACAGCTATGGTTTACTTTCTGCAAAACACAGCTAAAACATCAATCACATGACTAAAGAAGAACAAAAAAACATATCCCTGCATAAAAAGCTCTTGTCATTGTTATTTCCAGACATTTTGTTTGCACCCAGTTGTCACAGTATTGGACAAAACAAAAAAAACAGTAGGATTATGATTTTATTGGGAGACACCTCCCCAATGTAGATATTACGGGAAGAGACACAGACCCTCCCCAATGATATTATTGGCACAAAGAGCCCTCCCTACTAATATTTGGAGAAAGATCCCTAGATCCTGACATTACTGGAAAAGTAAGATGCCCCCTCTCGTTGCCTATTTCGGGAAAGAGACCCAACACCAGATTTACCTAGACTAACCCTGGCCACGCCGTCACCATTTTACTTCATAGGAGAATCTTAAATGAACTGCATGAGGAATGACTGGTTTAGGATGACAAAGCCTAAGCTGCACAACTTTGAAAGACCAGTAGTGCTGCTTCCTCATTCCCAAACCTAGCAGCTACTATTCATGTTATACAATACCACCATGTTAAACATTAAAACAATGCAACTTCAGTGGAGACTGCACAATAACTTATGGGGACAGATACCACTTTATGGAGAGCATTACTCTTCCTCAGGGGATTCCCAGAATGGTGTAATCACTAAACAACCCTAATCATAGAACTAAAGGAACAGCAACAGGTTCAAGTCAAATAAAGTCTTAGGCAGCTTTTAGAAATAAAAGGGTTCTGAACATATGTTCAAACTTGCTTTACATACAGAGAAAATGACCACAAGTATTGTATCTTATACAGTACAAACGCCAGGCAAAATCCTGCGTACTCTTGTGAAGTCATTAACTTATCTCAATCCCTAAGGCTTTCAAAACAGTAACCTGATAAGCACTGGAAACTAAAGGAAAAGCCAGAGAAAATAAAAATCGCAGACGTGAACGGCAATATGACACAAATAATGAATACAACATGACGTTTTTACACGGAAACTCCATTACTTTGAGACTTATTTTTAGCTTGCCTGAGAATGTATCTTGCTTCTCCTCTTTAGTGGTCTCACAATACATTTTCGTACACTACCAGCAACTAAAAGCTCTTCAAAACATGGTATTTTGTTACTTTATAGGGCAATGGGCACCAATAACCGCAAAAAACAAGCATACTGACAAACAGCAAAGTATGGCACACAGTTAAATAAAGACATAAGAAGCCGACATTGTAAAGACAGTAATATTTAATACCTCTGCTTTATCTGGCTTATCTGAGTAAAAGCAACTTTTAAAAAAAAAAGACGTTATTTAGCTCTAATGTAGACCTTTTACCTTTAAAGCAGAAACTGTACTCATTGCCCAGCAAAGTACGGGACCTTCCCAAGTCTGAGCTGAACGAGGAAGAAGCTGGCTAACAAAAGAAGTGTGCTCAGCCCAAACTTTATAGCACTTGCATCATATCATTAAAGATAGGTTTGCTTTTAAAGTGAAACTAAACTGCCATGCCACTGGTCGTGACTGGAAACTTTCAGAGACCTCCAACAAGCAAGAGAAAGCACATGTTAGTACACGCGTCAGTAAGAAATGCTCAAGTAAAAGAAGTCAGCGTGTGCCTCAGTTTATGCACAGCACACAAACGCTGATCTCTTTGCTGACTGACTACAGAGATTGAGAGTACCTTGCTCACTGAGGAAACCTTCAGCCAAAAATGCAGCTGTGACATGCCAACAGAACAGAGGAGCTGGGTT